GCGGATAACTGTCAGGAACAAAGATCCAGAAAAGGCTAAGAAAACATTACAGAATTAACAAGTCCTTGGTATAGGACCAATAAACTGAGCAAATGGCTCAGCACGATTATAGGTGGAGCATTATTCCAGGTACAGAGCCTAGCCATGAAGAAATGAAAGGTGCACTGGTGGCCCTCCCTTGAGTAGTCTTTAGGGGAAAGCCCATGCAGTAGGTAAATAACTTTGCACAAGCTCCACGTGCAAACATGTCACTGGATTCTTGTTAATTAGACTCAATAGGGCATTCTTCCAAAAGAGCAGTCATTTCATCAGTACTCACTTCTCACAGCCTTTTCCAATGAGTTCCCAAGCCACCAGCTTCCCCTCACAGCCACACCTTCTCCAGCAGACTCCAAACATGCATATGTACCAGGAAAGATTCATCTATCTATCTAATTTCTATATATCTGTATATATCTATATATATAGAGAGATATACAGATATATAGAGATATATGTCTTGTCAGGCACTGGTGGCTCACGCTACTTAGGAGGCTGAGATCTGAGGACCATTGTTCTGCCCCAGCAGGAAAGTCTGTGAGACTCTAATCTCCAATGAACCACCAGAAAAGTAGAAGTGGAGCTGTGGCTCAAGTGGTATGGGAACATAGTACCCATGAGCCAAAGAACTCAGGAACCGTACCCAGGTCCTGAGTTCAAGCCCAATGACCGACCAAAGAAAAAATGTCTTGATTAGTACAAATTAATGGTACAAAGGGGTTTTCACTGTGCTATTTACAACAAGCACATGATGTATTTGGATTAAATTTGCCCCATCTAGATTACTTTTTTTACCTAATTTCCTCCCCCCACCCATTTCCCTTTCCCCCTCCTCTTACCCAATGCCAGCCGCAAAATAAAAAGCAGTCTTCCTTTAGGATGACCCACCTTAAACCAGTGGTGAACTCCAACAGGAGTCAGTGACATTACCTCTCGGTTTCTCTATTCTAGTACCCCATCTAGTGGCAAGTGATATATTTGCAAGACTATCATCTCCAATTTCCAGCTGAGAAATCCTCTGTTCAAGCAAGGAGTTCTGAGGAGTGTCCTAAGGAGAGAAACAGGTTTAGGGGAAAGATCGGGGAATAATGCTTCAACTGAGAAGTGTGCATTTATAAATGAACTCTAAATCCAGGACAATGCACATAGGCAAGGACAATGCATCCCAGATAGGGGGAAAATAAAGAAAAACAGGCCAAGGCATCACCACTGGCCCGGAGTGGATTGGTTTTGCCCAGACTGGCAGGTGAGACCATCACTTTCTGTGCCTGACACTGGCCACTCCCCTACATCTCACAGAACCCGTTTTTCACATGAGCAAACAGAAACTGCTGTTTGGAGACTCAGGTCTCCAGTATGTCCTAGGACAGTAACACTGATTCACAAATGCAATCAATGCCCACAAATCACCTTTTTTCTTTTTGGTACTACTGAGGATTGAACTCAAGAGTATCATTCTTTTTTGCTGTTATTGTTGGTCGTGGGGCCTGAACTCTGGGCCTGGGCACTGTCCCTCAGCTCTTCAGCTCAAGGCTAGCGCTCTACCACTTGAGCCACAGCGCCACTTCTGCCTTTTTTTGCTTATGTGGTGCTGAGGAACGGAACCCAGGGCCTCGTGCATGCAAGGCAAGCACTCTACCACTGAGCCACCTTCCCAGCCCCAAGACTATCATTCTTGCTAGGCTGTGACCTCTGGTCAGTCCTCCCAAACCAACCATTCCCACCACTCTCCCTAACTCTTATCTGATCCAACCCCAGATCAACTGACCTTTGCTCTCTTGAGACCAATCCCCACACCTATTTCCTTGAGCTAGCCCCATATGAACTGCCCTTGGCTTTCTTTTCTTCCTCCTCCCCATGACCTCCCTTCATTGCTCTGTTCTGTCCTGCATGAACTGATCTGTCTCCCATCACCGTCTAATCCCTTCCTAGTCCATGTTTCCCTCTCCCTTCTCTTCCTCCACATTCCCACTTGCTTCTGTAGATGCAGCAGCACATACACTGATCCTGATGGCTGCTCCTCCCCCCATTCTCACTACATCTCTCTAGTACAGCCATGCAGGAATGGGCCTTATGTCTGCCACTGCATCCCATCTATCCTTTCTCTCTTAACATTCTCTACATAAGCTGACTTCAGCTCCTTCTCTATCAATACACTCCACTCCCGTACAGGGATCTTTTCTGCCTCCCCATAAGTTGACACCACTTCCTCTTTCTCTCCACCTTTCAGATCCTTTTACAAGTCTCTGGCCCCACCCCATCTCAGCTGACTCACGCTCTCTCTGTCCCTATTTTTCTCCCCTGAGCAACTGCAGACCTCGCAGAACAGCTGCTTGGCTGAACATGGTGAATGCCTTATGCTTGTTATTATTTTTAGGGATAATGTTACTTGAAATCCTCCTACCTCCCTCGAGAGATTCCAGAGAGACTTTATTTTGTGTGTGGGAACACTAAGGAGGACAGAAGAATGTTTTCGTTTGATAATTAGCTTCACTTAGCCATTCCACAATGTGGATATTATTCAATAATTATGTTGTATAAAATAAATGCACAATACGTCTACATGTTCATTAAATACAGAAATTAATTTTTAGTAAAATGTTCCTAGAAGGCCAGGCATCAAGTCATGCCTGTAATCCTGGCTACTGAGGATGCTGAGATCTGAAGATTGTGGTTCAAAGCCAGCTCAGGCAGGAAAACGCCCTAAGACTCTTATCTCCAATTAACCACCAAGAAGTCAGATGTGGAGCTGTGGCTCAAGTGATAGAGTGCTACCCTTGAGCACCAAAGCTCAGGAACAGCACCCAGGCCCTGGGTCCAAACCTCAGGACTGCACAAATACTGTCCTTCACTTCTTTCCAAAGTCTTACAGCATATCACAGGATTCTTTTTTTTTTTAAAGCAATATGACAAAGTCATATCCTCCCAAGAAATGCTGCCAACTGGCCTTGGAGACAATAATCACAAAAGTTTCATTTCACAATAAAGCTCATATGGTAACCCTAACAGGTATGGCTCAAGAGGTGCTGCCTAGACAGCACCAGACTCACCAAGAAAATGTAAATGAAAATGTTAGGGGGCTGGGAAGGTGGCTCAGTGGTAGAGCGCTTGCTTCGCATGCATGAGACCCTGGGTTCGATTCCTCAGCACCACATAAGCAGAAAAGCCAGAAGTGGCACTGTGGCTCAAGTGGTGGAGTGCTAGACTTGACCTGAAGAGCTGAGGGACAGTGTTGAGGCCCAGAGTTGAGACCCCACAACCAAAAACAAAAACAAAAAAAAAGTTGGGAGGCGGGTGCCAGTGGCTCATGCTTATAAGCCAACCCAATTCAAACAGAAAAGTCTGTGGGACTCTTATCTCCAGTTAAGCAGCAAAAAGCTGAAGTGTAACTTAGTGGCTCATGCTTATAAGCCAACCCAATTCAAACAGAAAAGTCTGTGGGACTCTTATCTCCAGTTAAGCAGCAAAAAGCTGAAGTGTAACTTGGGCTCAAGTGGTAGAGTATTAGCCCCGAACAAGACAGTTAAGAGAAGCTGGGGTGCTGATGGCCCATGTTTGTAATACCACTGGAGATACTGGTTCAAAGCCAGCTTGGTTAGGAAAAAGTTCGTGAGGCTCTAATCTCCAATTAATCACTCAAAAAAGCTGCAAGTGGAGCTGTGGCTCAAGTGGTAGAGCACTAATGTTGAGGGGAAAAAAACTTAGGGACAGAGCCTAGGCCAATATATGTAATTGCTCATTTAAAATGTTTTATATATAGACACACATAGACACACACACACACACACACACACACACACACAATTGTTCCTCTGAAATTTGTATTTATCTAGCTGTTCTTTTTCTTAGCTAAATCAAGCAGCTCTATCCTGTGAGGACTTGGATGCCCTTAAAAGTTTGAAACCTGATTTGGTCCCTCTTCGTATATGGATGAACGCATATTGCATTGTTCATTTTCTATTCCTCCTTGATTTCCTTGCTGCCCACTCTCACCTGAAGCACACTTGAATGCCACTTAGCTGGGCTTCTCTTACAGATAATATTGTGCGGGGCAGGAGGGCGGCTGGACAATGTCCCTTTCTTTTCCAATATACCAAATTTATGATACTATAAGTGAATAAACTGATGGCTGCCTGAATCCTACCCACTATTAGTCTTTACATTTTGCCACTACTTTGACTATATCAGTTAGGTTTAGGTGGAATGCAAATTCTAGTTTTACAAACCTACAAGTGCCCAAAGCAAGAATTACTTCATGCCAAGAGAATGGCAAAAGATTATTTCTTTTTTTGTATATGCTATTTTAAATCTACCAGGATGCCCTTGACATAACTATTTAGATGAGGGCTGCGAATATGGCTTGGTAGATAGCTTGCCTACCATGCATGAAGCCATGGGTTCGATTCCTTAGTACAACACAAGCAGAAAAAGCCAGAAGTGGTGCTGTGGCTCAAATGGTAGAGTGCTAGCCTTGAGCAAAAGAAGCTCAGGGACAGTGCCCAGTTCAAGCCCCAGGACTGGCAAAAACAAAAACAAAAACAAGTATTTAGATGAATTCAAAGTCAAAGATAAAAGAAAATTCAGCCTTAAAAGCCAGTTGCTGGTGGCTCTTGCCTAAGCCTCGTTACTCAGGAGGTTGAGATCTCAACTATTAAGAAGATGAATTCAAAGTCAAAGCTAAAAAGACTTGGCCTTAAAAGACAGGAGCCAGTGGCTCACACCTGTAATCCTTGCTACTCAGGAGGCTGAGATTTGAGCCCAGTTTAAAGCCATCCCAGGAAGAAAACACTCTGAGACTCTCATCTCCAAGTTACCAGCAAAAAGCTGGAAGTGAATCTCTGGTTCATGGATAAAACATCAGTCTTAAGCAAAAAAACTAAGAGACAACACCATGGTCCTAAGTACAAGCCCCAGTACTGGCACAAAAACAAACAGAAGAAGAATACTCAGCCTTCGATAACTAAAGCTTAAACTACAGAAGTTTTTATTTTTAAGACAGGATAAATAACATCAACACACCCAAATACCAAAGCAAGAATTCACGCTATTTTATAAAAGACAAAACTGCAGTCAGGTATCAATTAAAAACCAGAACCACTGCGAAATGACCACTGTTTGGGGTGACACTGTCTATGTGCTTGTCTCAGGTATGCTGTGGCTGCATCCGTGTGGAAAGGCATGACAAGAGTGAAGCAATGCAGGTGAAATGGCAAGTGGTCAAACTTCGAGACCCTTTTCTCCACTTGAATGTGCTTGCTTTCTGCTTTTAAAAATCAGCAGGTCATTTTACAAAGAACCTTAATATCAAAGAATACTTTCAAAAGGCTAAAAGACATTTAAGGTCATAGCTAAAGTTGTACAGTGAAGTCTGGAGCGGGGAGATTAGGTTGTCAAAAGCCAGATTTCACACAATGGCAGGCACACGTGCTTGTGATAGAAAAGAAGACACTGATCTTAATAGAGGCTGGTCTTTTTCATAATACGTAGGAATTCTTGCTCATTGACCTCTCCGTCTCCATCCCGGTCAGCTTCATCAATCATTTCCTGGATGACAGTAAGGATTAAGCTTAGATTAATTCACAAACTAAACTAAAAGATGATTATGGAATAGGCATCTAAAAATGCTACGTGGAGAGATGATTATAGTTCACCAAATGTGGATCTGCCACCTTTTATAATAACTCACTTCCAGAAAAATTAGTGTAAACCATGTCATACAGATCAATTTGAAGCAAGCCCCCAAATCACTTTAACAGGAGGGATTTCTGAAACCTCAAATAAGTTCATTTGCAAATTTATGCATTTTTCTGGAAGCAGGGCTTAGGTTTGTGTGTCTTACAAAGCAGAATTAAGTTGTCAGCTGAAGGACAAGTGGACTGTAGCTTTCCTTCAAAGAGACACTGTCAGTTCAGAAAGTGTAATTCACAAAAGCTCAAAGGCAAGAATTCTGAGCTGTACATCAAGGCATTACAGACCTGCAGCTCCTCATCAGTCAGGTTTTCACCCAACTCCTTGGCCACCCGCTTCAGATTTTTGAAAGATATCTTCCCAGTTTCATCGTCATCAAACAACTTGAAAGCTTTCAGGATTTCTTCTTTAGTATCTTTCTCAGACTTGAACAAGTGAAACACAAAAATCCTGAGTAGTGAACAGCAGTTACTCATGGCCTACAGTGGCTCCTCCCACTCCAACCCCTCCATCCTCTCATTGTCAACGGGTAGCTCAGGTGTAGACTGGGACAAATGTTCAGAAGCCTGGTAAGTCAGGTTGTCCACTCCATGCTAACATTTTCTCCCTCTCTACTGACTGTCCCTATCCAGGAGGAACAGGTATGTGCTTGATGCATAAGCATCCAGTGTTTAGAAATAGGAATGAGGGCTCATTTTTTTTTGGGGGGGGGTGTGGACCAAAGTACCATGGGGGAAAGGCAGGCCTCTTGCAACTACTGCATCATGGCAAACCAGGGTTTTGCTTTTCAGTGTGCAGCATTAGATATCACTAAGTATTATTAGGTATTACTAGGTGTGTCCACTAGCTGCCTCTCTATGTCTTTCTCTTATTCAGAAATTTCCTGAGTTCTGAAGCCAAGAAGAGACATGCAGAAGAATTACTTTCTTGGATGTACTCCCTATCATATCCCCAGTCCTCTATGAGCACACAGTCTCAGTGATGGCCGTCATGATATAGGTCACAGGAGAGCAAATATCATCCACGGTAGAATAGGAGGTCAAAGTCAAAATTATGCAAACCCAGCGGTTAATCAGGAACTATGGGCACAGAAATGGAGGGACAAAGGGTGAACAAATGCAGCAGTGGTACTCACTGGAAAATGACAATTTGTGGGTAAGGGTGGGAGGGAAAAAACTGGGAGACAGTGAGGGAAGGGGTGACATTGTCCAAAAAGAAATGTACTCATGACCTGACATGTAACTGTAACCCCTCTATGTATCACCTTTACAATAACAATCAAAAAAGAAAAAATGAAGGGCTCTGTCTAAAAGACTATATAAAACAAAAGATAGTAGAATTTTTTTATAATATAGAAAAGTAGGCAGAGTTATAATTGGGGAAAAACACATTTAAGTGGATGAAGCTGGGATCCTGTTTGAGCAGAGAGGAAGCAGGGAGGGAACAGAGCAGGTGTTTTCCTTTTTTGTGTATATACCAGTACTGGGGATTAAATTTAGGGCCTCCAGCTTTCCCTTCACTTTTTACTTCTGGCTGGAACTCTATCACTTGAACCACAACTTCCACTTCCAGCTTTTTACTAGGTAACTGGAGATCAGAGTCTCACCAACTATTCTGTCCACATTGGCTTCACACTGTGATCCTCAGATCTCAGCCTCCTAAGTAGCTAGGATTACCAGTTACCAGTGCCTGGCTTACTTATTCAATTGCAGAGAACTGCTGTGAGCAATTCTGAGTTCTATACTGCGGCATTACAGCTTGCAGCTCATCAGTCACATCTGTGCCTCACTTTGCTAACTTACCATTTTCTGAGTCATCACAGTCAAGAAGTCACTGAAGTTCATTTTTCCTGTCCCTTCTTTATCAATTTCACTTATCATTTTCTTGATTTCTTCTTTCTTGGGCTCAAAACCAAGGGCCCTCATTGCCACCTACAATGAAAACATATCCCTCTGATAAGTACATGTAATTCAAGTAGGAGTAAAACTGACCATGGAGGATATAAACCCAGAATCTGATAAAATGATAAAAACAGGTGGGGAATGCCCTAACACTGATCGAATTTGGTGCTTGTAATCCAGTTTAATACTCTGAGGTTAGTAAAGACAGGAGAACAGCACAGTACATGTCCCATGGTTACTTTCTACAGGGAGGAGAGTGAGAACAGTGCAGGAAGACAAGGAGAAGACAGAGGAAAGGAAAGGCAGTAGAGTAGGAATGTGTATAGCTTGCCTTTAGTTCTTTCACATCAATGGTACCAGTTCCATCAGCATCAAAGAGATCGAAGGCTTCCCGGATTTCCTGTTTTTGCTCTTCAGTAAGCTCTGGTTTGGGACTCATCCTTTTACGCTGGGCACTTGATGTCACGTTTGTCTTCTTAAAATTGGAAGCCTTTTGACATAATACAAACATATGAGGAGAAAATAACCTAATATAGTCCTTATTTATTTATTTACCCAGTCCTGGGGCTTGAATTCTAGGCGTGGGCACTGTCCCTGAGCTTCTTTTGCTCAAGGCTAGCATTCTACCGGTTGAGCTCCAATGCCACTTCTGGCCTTTTCTGTTTATGTGGTAGTGAGGAATCGAACCAGGGCATCATGCATGCAAAGGCAAGCACTCTACTACTAAGCCACACTCCCAGCCCCTAGTCCATATTTTATGACAGTTAACAACATCCATATGTATTTTTAAAAGAATGCTTACTGACTAATTTCAAATGTTTGCTAAACAAGAGGGATAGCAGGTTTTACAATGAGTCCACAAATCTCGATTTCTCTGGATTTTTTAAATTATTGTTTTCAGAAACAAGGGGATCCCTTACTGTTTTTGAAAAACATCCCGAAGGAGAGCTAGCCACGGGACCAATTGTAGATAACTAACTGGAGAGAACAACTCTTCTTGAATATGGGGGTTCTAGTTCTGGAAAAGTCCTTGCAATGCCCACTCCGTGTTCTATTTACCATAAAGAAATCTGACTTTCCAATTACTTTAAAACTTGGCCAAAAGCTACTGACAGGTAAGTCAGCATCAAGGAATAAAATCCAATCTGGTTAGTGCCCTCAAGTCTTCTCCATTAAGTTTAAAGCATCTCGTAAGTGACCGTATGTAAATTGCAAAGTACACTTAACCACAGAACATTAAAAAAAAAAAAAAACTCCCTCTCAGCTCTGTACGAAAACTTAAGGCAGAGGGAGGCAGCCCAGAGGCCAGGATCTCAGTGGGATCCCGGCCTAAGGGGAACTTAAGTCTTCTGCGAGGGGGTTGGGTAGGCCAGGAGAGTCCGAGGGGCCGCTGGGGGATAGACTGTGGGTATACGGAAGACAGTGGCTAAGTGTAGGCCCACCAGAGTGTTTGGCGTTTGTAGTTTCTACCCTCCCCTTCCGGGATAGAGCCCAAAGGAAGGTCTGGCAAGCCAAAGCCGATAAAGACGCAGGGAAAGAAGCATGACTGCATTGGAGCCTCTAGAGCTCAGGATCGCCGCGCAGAGAGCAAGAGGGAACCCAGCACTCACCATGGCCGAAGGAATCTGCAGCCGGTTGTTACGGCAACCGCGTACACGCTGACTGGCGCTTTTCCCACTGCCCCGCGCGCGTGCGGCCCCGCTGCCATTGGTTTAAGACAGAAGTGGGTGGTGCTAACCTTGCAAAGCCGGATCGCGGGGGCAGAGGGCGGTGCGGTGACGACCGAGACCTGCCTTTATTGGACGAGGTCACGATAAAAACATTGATTGGTTAAACCGGCTCCGAACTTGGCCAATCCCCTTGCTGGAGAAAGCTCGGCTGATTCTCGGCTCACACGGGCGCGGAGAAAAGGGAGGCTCCGGATCTGTAGTGCACTGTGGACTAGCTCCAAGCAAGCTGAGGCTGGCCTGTAGGGTATCTACGGACAGGTAAGAGTCACTGTCTCACCCTTAGAAGCCACTTTGTATCGGCAACAGGCCTGGGAGAAGGGTTGGGTGGGATAACCTACGTCTGAGGGATGAGGGAGGGGCCAGAAAAGATGTGACCGGGGCTGTTCTCAAGGACAGCTCAGACCCTGCATGGGAAAAAGAGGGTGTAGAGTTTAAGAAAAAAAATCCCTTGAGATCTCACGTGAACCTAGGCAGCCTGGGTGGAGAGCTGGGGTTCTTGGAAATGAAAGGACTGACAGCTAGCATGGAGGGTCGAGAGGTCATCAGAATACAGCTTGACATCTAAACGTTTGACCCAGAAAAAAGAACAGTCCCCTCCTGTACATATTTAGCCGAATTTTGGAAGTGATGTGCTTCGGGAATTAAAAGGTTGTGGGCTAAATTGCAACCCCCTCGTGGACCTGAACATCCAGGGTCCTCCATCATCTGCTGCCCTTCAAGTTTAGGGGCAAAAATTTAGCCCAAGTTTTTCAGGCTGTGGGAAGGCTGGGACATATTAGCACTCCATAAATGGAACTTTTCCCCTTTGCTCCTTCCTCTTAAAGCAGTGAACCCAGTTCCAAAGCTGCTGTCATATCTCTCTCTCTCTCTCTCTCTCTCCCTTCCCCTCTCCCTGTCTCCCTCTCCCTTCCCCTCTCCCTCTCCCTCTCACCCCTTTCCCCTCTCCCTGTCTCCCTCTCTCCCTCTTCTCTCTCTCCTCTCCTCTTTGTCCCCTGCAGCTACTGGACATTGCCTTAGCCCCCTCCCTCAAGGTTGTCACTATACTATTTGGACCACACCTCCACTTCTAGAATTTTGCTGGTTAGTTGGAAATAAGGGTCTCATGAATTTTCTTTCCCATGCTAGCTTTGAACTATGATCTGCAGACCTCAGGCTTCTGAGATGCTGGGATGAAAAGCTGAGCCACCAGAAACTGGTGTGTTTTGTTCTTTGTTGCAGGAGAAGAATCTTCCTTTACTTTATTTCTAATGCTCCAGAGGAACAGGTTAGTTGCTTAGTAAACTTTGGCTGAATGACTGCTCATTAGTCCTCCACTTTCCCACCATTCACCTCTGTACTCAGCCCTGATCTACCAGGCTAATCCACCTCATGAGCAGCTCTGGTCAAGTCAATGTCCTGTTTATAGTCAGTGTCCTGATTATAGTGCAAAGTTCATATGAACTTCCTGCCTAGGATCATGCCTGCTAAACCTACTGACTTCCTGTCTCCATATCCTGTGCTGTAGTTTGGCTCTTAATTGTCTTTCAAAGGCCAATCTATTGAAGGTTTGGTCTCCAACCTGTAGTGCTACAGGATGATTGTACAATCTTTAGGGGCGGGGCCTTAGTGGACAGAAGTTAGGCCATGGGAAACATGCTCTCAAAAGAATTATGAGGGCTGGGAATGTGGCTTAGTGATAGAGTGCTTGCCTAGCATGCATGAAGCCCTGGGTTCGATTCCTCACTACCACATACACAGAAAAAGCTGGATGTGACACTGTGGCTCAAGTGGTAGAGTGTTAGCCTTGAGCAAAAAGAAGCTCAGGCCCTGAGTTCAGGGCCTGAGCTCAGGACTGGCAAAAAAAAAGAAAAAAGAATTATGGGACTCAGTCTCGTTTTTCTTTTGCTTACTGGCCACCATGAACTGAAAAGCCAGCTTCCTGCACTACATGCTCCCAGCATTATATACTGTTATCATCACAGATCCAAAGATCAGCACCAAGTAATCATGAACCAAAACTTCTAAAACCATGAGCCAAAATAAACCAGTCCTCTTTTCGTATTGGTTGTCTCAGGTGGAAAGTTGCTTAACCACGCCTTGCTTCCCAATCAGCAGGGCAGAAGCCTGACAGTAGGTGTAACAAATGCAAATTCTGCCTAGGGTATGTGCCAACTATGTGACCCTGAGCAATTCCTTTGACCTCTCTGAGCCTATTTCTTATTTATTAAGTGAGATCGAAACTGTCTACCTAATTGAATACTTTTTGAACCCTAATGGGATATGTACTATTTATAAAGGCCTGACATTTAGCAACTCTTCAAACAATATTAGTGCGTTTCTCTGGTTAATGATGGTCATTTCCCCTTCTGGCTGCCTCAGGCCTACAATCCATCTTCACACTATAGCCAGGATGATCTGTGGCACTCTGCCACAACCTGTGATTTCCAGGGGTATATAGTCCCTTCATGTTGTCAACTTTGCTCCCAGTCTTGCTCCACACTTGCAGTGATACAACTTCCAAAACATGCTGGCTCTATGCCACCAACTCATTCTTCCCACCTCACCCGACCCACCTGCCTACCTATATTCTGCAGGCTTATTCTTCTTGGTGACCAAACACTTTTGATTCCTTGTAACTCCCTGGATCCCCCACAGTAGGGTGGGCTCCTTGAAGGCCCTGCTGCTCTATTTGTTTTTTGCCTAGCTGACTTTTGGTAGCTTGTGAATGCAAGAATGAATGAATGAACGCTCACATGTTCTTTTACAAGTTATAGCTCTACTTTTATCCCTGGGGGCTTGATTTAGCGTCAGCAGCTCTACTTTTATCCCTGGGGGCTTGATTTAGCGTCAGCAGCTCTGGGTAATCAGTGGCTATTTTCTACTTGAGTGTTAACCAGATGCAATAGAGTAATCCAGTAGAGAACCATTGAAACCTAGGATGAAAACATTATGAGCAGGTAGGTGCCGAGGAAGCAGCTCATCTTTCCTAGCTAGTGGGCCTGCGCACAGGGGGCAGTTAAGCTAGGCTTTGAAGGATAATGGGAAGTTCACTGTGGAGAGGGTACAACAGGAGCTGAGATCACAGGCATGCTGAAGGTTCCTGAGTAAATTCAAAACTAGGCATTCTGAGTTCTCAAAGGAAATGAACAGAGAGACTAACTACACTGAAATATAAGGTCATCTCAGGTCCCTGGATTGTCCCTGTGTAGTACTGGGTCACCTGAGACTTCTGAAGACAAATACCATCTTAACCACTGATCCTAATCTATGCTTCCTCCCCTTTATCAGATGTTTGCATTCTGAAAACAGAGACCTTCACTCATTTTCTTTTTGTTGCTTGTTTTGTTTGCCTGGCAGTTTATTTCTTTTTTACAAGGTTCCTGCTTTGCAGTATTTTCTCCAGTAAATGTATGTGAAAGTATGTGCTGGCATAAAGTAACTCCTGGAGGTTCCCAGCTCAGTTCTCCATATCGGGATTCCACACCCAGTGGTAGTAATGAAACTCTGCTTTCCCTACTCCATCAGCTGAGTCTTTTGTAGACGTGCGTTTGTCCATTTGTTGTTTTTTTTTTAATCAGTTGTGGGGCCTGAACTCTGGCCTGGGTGCTATCCCTCAGCTCTTCAGATCAAGGCTAGTGCTGTACCACTTGAGCCACAGCGCCACTTCCGGTTTTCTGAGTGGTCTATTGGAAATAAGAGTCTCACAGACTTTCCTGCCTAGGCTGGCTTTGAACTGCGATCCTCAGATCTCAGCCTCCTGAGTAGCTAGAATGACAGGTATGAGCCACTGGTGCCCAGCTCCATTTGTTTCTTTTTTTTAAAGGCAGATCAACTCTGGCCATGTGCTCACGCTCGCTGCCTCCACTGCACTTCCTTTTCTATTTCTGGTATTGGGGCTTGAACTTAGGGATCCTGCTCTCCCTATGCTTTTTCTGCTTATGGCCTTTCTTCTATATCTAGGAGTAAGTAGTCCAGAACTTTCTCAGCAGGAATCAGATTGGGCTCCCTCACTTGTCTTCATGGAATCCTATCAGGAACCAAAGGGAGTAGTAAGGCAGGTGAATGTCACTAGTATGAGTTAGGTCTCTTTTTCCTAGCCTAGAACATTATCACAATGAGATGGTAAGTGCACATCCTGGTTTTTAAAGATTTGAAGACTCACATTCTAAAGGAAGCAGATCTGAGGCCTCTGCTCTGTAAACCTTCACAATGCACCACCCCCTTTTTAGGGTATTTTTCTTAATCATTCTGAGATCCCTTATTCTATGTATATACTTGGCAAAAGTGACATTACAGAATATGTACCATTTTAATCACAGTTTACTGGAGTGGCAGCGCCTTCCCATTGTGGTACAACCATCACCACCATTCACCTCCGAGCTCTTTTCATCCTGCAAAACTAAGTCTGTGCCCATCAGTGGTCATTCCCCTTCCACCTCCCACCAGATGCTAATCTCAGTCTCTGAATTTGATCTTTCATAAGGGTTCCCCATATGAGCACATGTAGTATTGTTCTTTGGTGGCTGGCGCTTTTTGTTTAGCATGATGTTCTCAATGTTCATCTTTTGATCTTAAGATGGAAGGACATCCATCATGATAGCTAATGGATTTTGTTTATCCATTTGTCCATCAATGGACAGCCAGGTTGCTTTCACCTTTTCACTATAGAAATTATTGCTGCTAGCTGGGCACTGGTGGCTCACACCTGTAATCCTAGCTACTCAGGAGACTGAGCTCTGAGGATTGCGGCTCAAAGCCAGCCCGGGCAGGAAAGTCCATGAGACTCTTATCTCCAATAAACCACCAGAAAACTGGATGTGGTGCTGTGGCTCAAGTGGTAGAGCGCTAGCCTTGAGCTGAAGAGCTGAGGGACAGCCCCCAGGCCCAGAGTTCAAGCCCCATGACCAACAAAAAAAGAAAATTTTGCTGCTATGCACATTTATAAATGCATAAATGTATGTTCCAACTCTTTACTTTCCATTTGG